TGGAAGAATACTATTGCAATGCTCTTAACTATTCATGGTATAGTGTATCACCTGAACGAACGCTGTGAGAAAGGCATATAGAAAATGTATAGATCAATATCTATACAAGCTATACAGAGGGTACATAGGATGTGAACTCTGAAGCAATCATGAAAATAAAGAATTACAGGAAATAAGCCCATAAAGAACATATAATGGAATTATAAAAACTACTCAAGGACTGGAGGTGTGGCTTAGTGGTGTGCCTGCCAACCACGGAACAGACCCTGCATTTGATCACCCACCCCACAAAATAAAACAAACAACTAAAATAAGGACTGGGAGTGTGTCTCAAGAGGTAGAGGACTCGCCTAGGAAGCGCAAGGCTCTGAGTTCAATCCTCAGTGCTGGAAAAACAAAAACCCCAAACCAAAACCAAACAACCTCAATTAAGCCTATAAAATGCAGAAAAAGAAGAAAAGAAAGGAATAAAGAAGAGAAAGCACAATGTAGACACATTGTGCTTGTTATACTCCTTTATTTTCAAGTGTTAGCTTTGAATTACATAACAGCTGGAGGGGAGGAAACTATGATAGTAGTGGGGATTTCAGAGAAGTTTCATTTATTGTCTAAAGCAAGCATACTCAAGGTCAGTTAAATGCCTCACTCCTGCCATATGCAATCATTTTGGATATAAAATTCATTTTTAATAATTCTAAAGCCTCCACCTGTATCATTTGACAAACTTGATGTCCCAGTGTTTTATTTATGCTTTCATGAGATTAAGGCCCTCTCTGATAGTGTGCCTCCTGTGTACTCATTGACTTGTTCAAACCCAAATACAAATTTATTGAAAAGCATCATTTTAATCTCCCAGCCTTTCCAGAGCACCAATCACAGTAGAACTCAAAAGACATCAGTTCAGGAAACAAAGGTGCTTTTGTGCTGGGGCCTACATTCCCAGCACGGTCTAATGTGAATACCTGCCTGTGTTTAATATTCATGTTTTTGGTGTTTGCAGGAAAGATTTTTATGGAACAAAATGGAAGGTTTTGTTTCACCTTGATTTCAGGGGATAAAAACCAGGAAAAAAGAAAAAAAAAAAAAACCCAAACCTCTAGCCAAGCTGTGAGTTCCTCTGCAATACACACTTCCCGCAAAGTGAAGAGAGTTAAGCTCCATTTTACTCTTTCCTGTTCCCTCACCAACTGCATTCCAAGGCCAGTGACCTAAGCCTGGCAGAAAATGATCTCAGGTGCCTGTCTGAATTGTAGAATCCTAGAGAAATAGTTCAATGTTCTTGTTTTCTGACTGATAAGAAACAAAATCACCCCCTGTCATGTGCCCACTGCTCCTTCTCGCTCTACTTGTTTAGAAGGATATATTTGCTTGCTGACTTTCTGGACCTTTTCTGTAGGCTATCAGTAAGGAGGAAATGTGGTGGTATTCTGACATCAAAAATGGTAGAAATTTTCTTATGGTGGAGAAATTTCTCAATCATTAAAAGTGGCGTTCATTGATTGGATCTGACTTATCAGGTGAGTTAGTGGAGAGAAAAAGACCAAGGTTGAACAGTTTAGAGGGTTTTTCAAGCTGCCCAGCTTGAGACAAATGAATATACAAAGAATGTTATGAACAGCATTCCCTTCCACCAAGGTTTTGGCCAATCTGTACATTTTGTATCAAATATTTTCTGGCCATTGAACTGGGACTCATGTGTTCGATTATGGTTGTCAGTCTTGTTTTAATTGAAAGAGCAGTAGGCATTGCCTGGGTTATTGGCTTGGGGAAACTTCTCAAGGGTAGTCAGTAGACACAATTTTCTCAATTGTGTCTCAATTTCTCAAATTTCAAATTGGCCTCATCCTCACCTCCATCCCTGCTTTGACCCCAGAGGAGTTTTAGTATGTTTTGTTGGGATGTCTTCTCCCAGTGCTGGAAGAGAACTACTTTTTCCTTCCCACAAGGAATATTTACAGGCTGGAGATGCGAGTGGCAGAATGCTTGCCTAGCATATATGAGACCTTTAGTATGATCCCTAGCAACACACACACACACATACACACACACACACACACACACACACACCCTTGAGAATAACCAAGGGAGACTCCCCCTCTTAACAGTCCAGTCTCACCTGCCCTTTGCAGAAAAGGATCCAAGATTTCCTGTGCTTTCCAAAGTGCTGAATTTCCCCTACCTTGTTTGTTGCCTTAGAAGGATTTCAGGATGAGGTGGGTAGAAGGTGAAAGGTCACACTCTTTCAGGAGCCCGTGGCTGTCTTGAGCTAGAAACAATCTTTAGTTTGTGTTTCTTAGTAAAAAGGAAAGAAAGAAAGGTAAAGTTTCAGAGAATAACTGCTATGAGGAAATGATTTGGAAGTGTTCATTGCACATGGCTTAAGGCTCTTACAGGAACGTGGTTCTTGCATATGTGTGGCAAAGACTGTGTTTGATCATGGGTCATAGGACCTTGCGTGTCACAGTGAAGCTGCTGGTGGGAGGAAAGAACTGCGCACGCAGAGAAGCCTCTGTGCTGATCACATGGTCCTTACTGTCTAGTTAGATACAATTGTTTATTTAGGCTCAGATTTTTGCAGGGAAAATTCTAGTACCTAATGCAGTGCCTGGTTTTCGTGGAGATGATCTTCGGGGATTCCTGCCCATGAAGGGCTGAGTTGGTCCAAACCATGTGCAATCAGCATCTCCTTTTGTTCTTGTAAAAATCTTGTCATCAATAAACTCAAGAATCCGGGTAGTGAGACGTTCCACATTTGCGCAGGCGCAAAACGGCTCTGTGGTCAGCTTTTGTGCACACTTCCCACACAGGCTGACCCAGGAGGCAAGACCTGGACTGGGGAATCCTCTGACAGTCGCTCTGGTCTCCATCTTGCTCTTTCCTTTTTTTTTTTTAGCCCTGCAGGGAATTATTCAGTTTGTGGGCTCCCATTCTAGACATGCTGAAGTTGAAAGAACACACAAATGGCAGGAAGGCGGCCTACTCAGCTCTCTCCTTAGCTGTGTGACTGTGAGCAGGTCTCCCGGCTTTCTAAGCCCACACAGGCGACATGGAGATGAGCAGGCCCAGGTGGAAGGATCATTGTAAGGGAGTGAATGCTACAGGTCTGTGCCCGGGTCCCAGAGGCTGTCCAGTAGATGCCAAGTCTCTGTGCACGTTGAGAGTAAGGCGTGTATCTTGCTTACCCTGTTTCCCTGGCTCTTGGCACACGGTGGGCACACAGGAGAAATACTGGTTCAATGCATGAAGTGCCAGCCTAAGATATTTTTACCCTTGTCAACTTGTACGGGTACTTCAAGCAGAGCACCGTCCCTTTTCTCTGGTTCTGACAGCAGTGGTGAACAGACCGGGCTCAGGTCCTCTGTGGATGCTGGAGAGGTTGCAATCAGGTCGGTACCTGGGAGGCCACTGCCCGGGCTCGGGATGCAGTAGGCGCCGGCAGAGGGCGCCCCGGGCCCGTGGAGCGCGTGTCATTCGGGTTGGGGCGCTAGCTGGGCGCAGGGCACTGGCTGCAGTCGGGTGTTGACCGCAGCGCGGGACGCTCCCGCCACCCGCGCCGAGCGCCAAGGGAGCGCCCTCTGGGCGCAGCGGCACTGTCCAGGAGCGCTGCGCGGTCCCTGTGAATGGTGAGTACGGGCGCTCGTGGGCCACTCTTACCTAGTTGGGGGACACGGCCAGTAGTTCCAGGGCTTACTGTGTAGGGGGAGCGGGCGGGTCTTTTCTGGCGTAGTGCTTTGAGTCGAACTTGGGGTCCGCTCCAAGAGGCGCTGGGTGTCGGGAGTTTGTGAGGTTTTGACATCTGGATTTGTTTTAAGGGCCCTGCGGCTGGGACAGGGGTCCAGGGGCTGGCGAGGTAACCATAGAGGGCAAGCGCTCACTTGGGCGTCACCCATCCCCTTTGCCCGCAGCTCCATCCTGGCGAACCACGTGTGGCTGTCACCCGCAAGTCTACCTGTCAAGTGCAGCCCGCCCCAGGGCAGGGGAGGGGACACGGGGGCGGGGTGGGCTGTGCCCTGCGGGAACCCAGCCGGCCCGTGCGCCCGCCGGTGCCAGCTTCGATCCCTCTGCCTGGTGTTACCACAGGCTCCTGAGAGGCAGCGAGGGGTGTTGTAGGGAGGCTCACAATCCTGTTCTAAGGGGTTCAAGGCCGCTCGAGGGGGCACCCAGGCGTTCGGTTCCAGAAGAAAGGAAGTAAAAGCTTCCCAAGTGACTAGTCCTGGGGGTGCCTTCTCCCAAGGAAGCCCCGAGAGCCCTGGAGCCCTTTTTCCTAGGTCCTGCCGGCTTTGAACAATCTCTAGCCATTTGAGGCAGCCGGGCGGCGCCGTTTCTTTGGGTGCCTGGCCCGGGATCCCGTCTCCAAACCCTCCCCAGCGATTTTTACGCATCAAGAGCAGAACTCCGGCTGCGCGCCACGGGTCAGACTCAAGCGCGCTTCCTAGCCACAGCGAGAGCCCAGGGGCTCCTTGCGCAGCCAGTTTCCTGAGCCCCAGCCAGGGGTTTTGAGAGAGACAACCCAAGGCGAGGTAGGTGGCCTTGACCGGCTGGCCCAGCAAATGATTGGATTGAGTTTGACATGAACTAAAAATGTGATCTGCCCAAGTCTTGATGAACGACCCTGTGTTTTTTCGTTTGCTTTTTAGGCGTTTGGAGAGCTGCTTGGAGCCGGGTGGCTTGGAGGGGTGCGACATGTATTTTCAGCTGCGTCTCAGAAGGGGAGAATTCTCTGTCACCATCGGAGAGGCAACAACCATGAAATGTGATTGCAATTGACTGACAGGCAGAGGCCTGAGAGTCTCTAGGTTAATGTAGAATATGCTAAAAAAAAGTCAATGTTTCCCTTGGGGAACCTAGGGGCCGGGTGGTGCCCTAGACAGTGACCTAAAGCAAGAAAGTCAGTTGGAGAAAGCAAGAGGGATTTTGCAGCAGACTACCTTGGGTGACCAAGGGAAGCTTCTGCCAGACAATCGTAATCCTCCTCATACCTTGGTGGAATGCCTGGAAGGCTCTCCAACCAGGGGAGCAGCTGGGACTGTGCAAGGGCCACCTGGTGAGTGGGGATTCCACGAAGTCTGGCTGACCTTTCATCCCTACTGAGGAACTTCAGGGGTGTCCAAAGCCCGATGTGCTTTCTTTTTGGAAGATGACTCTGAACACATCCACCATGGATGGGGCTGGGCTGGGGGTGGAGAGGGACTTCTCCTTCCGAATTCTTACAGCCTGTTTCCTGTCACTGCTCATCCTGTCCACTCTCCTGGGGAACACGCTGGTCTGCGCTGCTGTCATCAGGTTCCGACACCTGCGGTCCAAGGTGACCAACTTCTTTGTCATTTCCTTAGCTGTGTCAGATCTCTTGGTGGCTGTCTTGGTCATGCCGTGGAAAGCTGTGGCTGAGATTGCTGGCTTTTGGCCCTTTGGGTCCTTCTGTAACATTTGGGTGGCCTTTGACATCATGTGCTCCACTGCATCCATCCTCAACCTCTGTGTGATCAGTGTGGACAGGTATTGGGCGATCTCTAGTCCTTTCCAGTATGAAAGGAAGATGACACCCAAGGCAGCTTTTGTTCTGATTAGTGTGGCATGGACACTGTCTGTCCTCATCTCCTTCATCCCAGTGCAACTCAGCTGGCACAAAGCAAAACCCATAAGCCCCTCTGAGGGGAATGCCACTTTCCTAGAAGACACTTCGGACAACTGTGACACCAGATTGAGCAGGACGTATGCCATTTCGTCCTCCCTAATAAGCTTTTACATCCCAGTGGCCATCATGATTGTCACTTACACCAGTATCTACAGGATTGCCCAGAAACAGATACGGCGCATCTCCGCGTTGGAGAGGGCAGCAGTCCATGCTAAGAACTGCCAGACCACCACAGGTAATGGAAACCCTGTAGAATGTTCTCAATCAGACAGTTCCTTTAAGATGTCCTTCAAAAGAGAGACTAAAGTTCTTAAGACCCTGTCCGTGATCATGGGGGTGTTTGTGTGCTGCTGGCTACCTTTCTTCATCTCAAACTGCATGGTGCCCTTCTGTGGCTCTGGGGAGACCCAACCCTTCTGCATCGACTCTATCACCTTTGACGTGTTTGTGTGGTTTGGGTGGGCTAATTCTTCCTTGAACCCCATCATTTATGCCTTTAATGCTGACTTTCAGAAGGCATTTTCAACCCTCTTAGGATGTTACAGACTTTGCCCTACGACAAATAATGCCATAGAGACAGTTAGCATCAATAACAATGGAGCTGTGGTGTTTTCCAGCCACCACGAGCAACGAGGCTCCATCTCTAAGGAGGGCAATCTGGTTTATTTGATCCCACATTCCGTGGGCTCCTCCGAGGACCTGAAAAAGGAGGAAGCAGGTGGACTAGCTAAACCATTGGAGAAGCTGTCCCCAGCCCTATCTGTCATATTGGACTATGACACTGATGTCTCTCTGGAGAAGATTCAGCCTATCACACACAATGGACAGCATCCAACTTGAACTGCTGGGTGAATCTAGCCACACGTGTTCATCCCAAAACCTAGAGGAGCGTTCTCTGGGCTGGTTGCTAAAAAACTAAGGTCTGGTGAGGCTGAGATGTTAGGAAATCCTCTGCTAATTTCAGACAACTGAGTATATTTTCAGATATATTCCAGTATATTTTCTGTGTTATTCATAGTCAATCAAGCAGGGCCACATGGAAAGCCACAAGAGACAGGTGTTTGGCTCCCAAATTGTTTTTGAAACTTATTATCTTGGGACTTAAAAAAAATAGGGCAAAGAATCAACAACGAACAGCTTCACTTAAAGATTCAAACTTTGTGGGAAAGAAATGAGAAGGGTTGAGTTTGCTGTATACAAAAAAGGTGCTAAAACTGTTGCAAGGAAAGTGTTCAGAGTGTAAAGGTAGCGCATGTCTTTGTATATTATTTCTTAAAAAGAACTGAGCCTTATGGTAGGAGTGGGATTCTTTTTTTTCAGAATTGAGAGATCTTTTGTTGATATTGGTCTTATTTATTTATTGTATTATATAAATATTTTAAATTTATCATAGTAAATCTATATTTATCATATTTAATAGGTTAAATTAATAAGTTATCTGAAATTGAATTGTCCATTGAGCTAGCACTTTAATGAGCCAATGTAACAAATGCACAGATTCTCTGAGATTCTAAGTGCTCATGAGTAACTTCTGGAAACAACAAAGACTGATGGGAAATGAAGTTGTGCTGATTCCTTAAAATATACTACTGGCACAAATAAATCCAAGGTGAGAACTGACAAATGCTGTGAATGCTCTCTCTCTCTTTTTTTTTTCCTAAAAAGATTTTGAAAAAACAATTTAAAAAAAAAGCATAGTTGCTGTTGTGTTGGAAAAGTTTAAATGACAAAGGCTTTTCCCAGGAGAATTTGCAACTTCTGTAAATATACAATTTCACATTCATGATCTTAGGTGACAAGGAAAAGCATATGGCACTTTGTATTTATGTAAAATAACTGGCTTTCTCTGTCTTTTCTCATTTCATGCCTCAAGTAGCTTTCTGAACCAAACAAATGGCTGTCCTGGGTATGGGTCACAACAGCCCCACTGATGGATGGTCGAGGCTCAAACCCTGTACCTCCATCTTTCTACATCTAACCGAATTCACTCAATGGGGCTATTTTTGTAGTGCTTTAATCTGAATTTACAGCTGAATTTCTTTTTTAAAAAAAAGGTCTTTAAATGTTAATGGTATACTAACTGAGTAGTGCTTCATTATCCTCCATAAGACACTCTCTTTGGGGAAGGGCAGGAGACCCCACTCTCTTTGGTGTGTTAAGCACCCCAAAGCTATCAGCATCTCTGTTCATCTCTGCTCTTTTCTCTGTGCTTTGGAATCGAGACTGTAAAAAGTACCATCAGCCTCTCTCATGTGGGGACAGTAACTCACGGACATTTCTACAGTGTTTTTATGGAAACGTTAGCAAGGTGTTCTTCTCAACGAGCAATTGACTTAATATGTAGATGAAATCGGTAAAAAAGAACAAAAATCTGCTGAAAGAGATCTCCTGCATCAGGTCTGTGTTATTTATGTATTGTGAATGTTTTCTTAATTTTCCTGCCTGTATGCTTTCTTACATACAATAAAATTATTTTGTGAACTCAAATTAACCCTGAGAGAGCTGTGTTGAGTTTGTTAAATGTATTTTAAAGACTAGGATATTTCAGGTTTACAAGGAAGAACAACACAGGGGCATTTTCAGGTATGTTACTTAATTTCTTTTCTTTCTTTTTTTTTTTTTTAATGGAAATTTCTCTTCTGAATGCCACATGTTGACTGTGAGCATTTAGCCCGAAAATGCTTTCTGGGCTGGTCTCAATTTTCCTTTGTCTTCTTTTTTTTTTTTTTTGACAAGTTGAGGAATTACTCTACTTTTCATTTTTTAGACTTGAAAGCTTTCTAAAATTTTGTTTTTTTTCTTTCAAAGAGCCTTTTTTAAATAGAATAAAAATTTTTGCTCTGGGGTTGTTGAGAGTTCCTGACCGATAGCAACCACGTTGGTGCACTGTTCATTTTAAAAGTAAAATATAACAGGGTTTTTTTTCCCTTTTCTGGGGAGAATGCAGGGGTTGTGATGTGAGCTTATATAATTGTCTTACAGGACACAACCTTAGGTATTGCCAATGGGACTTAGTTATCATGCTAAGCCAGTTTTTAAAAAGTTTTCATCCTGAGGAAGGAGAAGGGCTCCAGCAGGTGATGTAGCAATGAAGGCTTAAGTCTGTGAGTCGGAACCTCACACAGCAGATGGTTTCTCTGAATTTCATCCTTGTCTTTCCCGGGCTTTGGCATATAACGAACATATCTAGAATGAATGCTCAGAACACATGGTGCTTTTTTCTTTCTGCTAAAGAACTTTCTGGATATCTTTATTCTTGAAAATTTAATTTTGTTCTTAAATCAGAAGTACAGCCACATAGACAATGGTGTTCAGGAAGGGTTGTCATTGTCCAGTCAATGATATATGACACAAGAACCTTCCTTTAAGAATGAAAAGTAGATGACATGTTTAAAAATGATATTAAATAGTTGTAAAATTCAACAAACCTTGAATGAGACTGTTCTTTGGGTCCCTGGCATTTTGAATCAATAAAAGATGTCTCATGAATATTAATTTTACTGAAAGAATCTTTTAGGTGGTTTAATTTCTAACTATAAAGCAAAACTACAATACGACTTTCATTTCAGTTTTGACTATAGTGATGAAATGTCATAATGCTAAATATATATGAAACACTTTACCAAGGTAGAAGCAATTTAAAAGAGGTGTTTTTCCCCCCTCCACTTAAGGCTGCCTTCGAATCAAACATGCACACAGCTCTTAGGAATGACTGTCACAGCAGGAAGGGGGAAAAGCACTTGTTTAATGAGTAGACTGGGGATTTATTCAGGAAAGTCACCACTTTCTATCTCTGGAGACCTAAGCAAGTCATCCTCTCTGAGTCTCAGTTGTGCTAGTCCATTAAATGGTAGGAGCAAAACCTCTGCATTAACTTCTTTATTGATGGAGTCACCCCAAAATGCAGGTGAACAAGTAGTTCAGCTTCAGTGACTTTCTGAATTCTCACTGCCCCTGGGGAGCCCACTGTGATTTCTCCCCAGGCTTTTTCATCAGGAGTATTTTAGTCCGTTTCTACCTCCCATCCCCCAGGCCCTCTGTAGGGAGCCAGTCCACAGTTGCGGGCCTGGAAGGCAGAAAGCAGAGGCTTTGATTAAGACAAAGTCACCTCCCAGCCTCTACTTTCAATCACTGGGAGCAGAAACCCAGGTTTTCCCTCTCTGAGCCCATTAGCCCATTGTGAAGTGGAAAGGAACCTGCAGTCCTGTGAGAGTCAAAATGCAGCCAGTGGCTTTAGGTGCCCTGAGCACTGAGACGCTGGGCTCAGTGGCTTCCTGCTAGATCCTGTGACTGAAAGAATTGATTCTTTAATATCTGTCGCATTAGTGATGGACCTGCTATGTATTTGATGTCTCCAATATTTGCTTGATGGAATGAAAATGACTTTTAGGGTGCATGTGGATTGAGATTCTTAGACTCCCTTGTCTTTTGGCTGTGGTTATTTGGTATTCTAGAAACAAGTGTCTGCATGGTTCAGAAAATTGTCCTAAATTCCTCTCTGTAATCCTGAGTGACTGTCCACAGTGTTTCAGCCTATTAGATAGCCTTATCTTAAAGATTTTTTTTTCAAGAATAATAAATTGATGGTCTGCTTGCTCTGGGCTGTTCTATGTGGGAACTGCTTGTCTGTGTGGTCTGGTCATTGTGGTCATTTGAAGGAACTAATCTGGTGCATCATGAGGTTTTGTGACTAAAGATTGGTTGTACCTCTTTGATTTGGGTAGACAAATTAATGTGTCTGTTTTCTAGAAGGCTGAGAGTGTGGTGAGCTTTGGTACCAAGCCAGTCTGTACAGCTTTCTGCCATGTTAAATAACACCTATGAGATACACAGAATTAAAAAAAAAAAAAAAGCAGCCTTCGGACTTCAGCCTGTTACATCATTCAAGATTTGGGAGTTGTAATTTAAACAGTATTAGCAGCTTAAGAATAATCTCCGATTTAAAAGAGTTTAACTTTCTAATCACTACAAGAAAATCAGTTAGATTACTTTTTATGCATAGAGAATAGACTATCAGCTCTCGCAACTGGTAAATGTTTTCAGATGCATCACACAGGATCTGCTCAGAGCTGTGTCTACAGAAGTAAGAGTACTCAATGCCTATGGGAGCAGAGGTGCCAGTGAAGTGGCAGGTGACCGTGGGACCCAGGAAGACTGAACTCAGCTCAGGGTGGTGCATTTCATTTAAACAAATGGATATACTACTTTATATCCTGTGAAAATAGACAAAGGGGTAAATGAGATCATTTCTAAGATATATTCTGGTTTGAGATTATGTAATAGGAGATCCCTTACAGGCAAAGTCTGATAAGTTTCTCAGGAGAGATTTGCCAAGTTCCATTCTTTTTGCTGTTGGAAAGAACAGGGGGATATTTATGCAATGAAAATAAGATTGTGTGATGCTCTTGCTTAACATTCTTCAATGGCTCCCAACTACCTTCAAGAAAAAAATATCAAACTTGTTCAAGGCCCTCTATGATCTGACTCCTGGTGGCCTGTGGAGTTTCATATCTTATCATTACCCTACTAGAACTGTCCTGCAGGAATTCTGAACTTTGTGCAAATAGTGGAGCCCTTTCTTGTTTTTATGCCTTTGAATATGCTGTTCTCTCTGCCTGGCACACCCTTCCTGTTGTGGTTGTTTGCTCATTCCTACTTATTCTTTATGCTGCATTAGGCATGGGCCGAGGATGTAGCTTTGCGTGCACAAAGCCCTGGATTTGATCCCCTGCATGGAACAAGAGAAATTCCAATAAGAATAATTTCCTTGGCATCTTCTTTTTGCCTCTACTGCCTTCTTTCTTTCCAAAGGTTTATTCCACTATTGTGAAGTAATCTCC